CGCAGGAGCAGAAGCAGAAGCAGATTCTGCACTTCCATCGGGACACTGCGTTGCTTTGCTAAGGGCAGTCAAGGAGAAATCCTTCCCAGGTGGGCAGGGAGGGGAGAGCCTGGCTGTGGGCGTCAGGGGCCAGGCTTGCTAGGAGCAGGCTTCCGATACCTGTCTGTGATGCCACATGTGTCAAACAGGACCTCGGCAAAGTGTCCCAGCCGCCGGAACTCCACCAGTGTGAGGTTGACCAGCTGGCCGTCCACCTTGAGCAGCTCCATGCAGCCGTGAAAGGCTGTCTGGTTGGAGTGGCAGTCCCACTGGCCGGCTGGCTTGGGACAACCTGCAGCGACACCCCTGGTGAGGCCTCCAAAGAGACCCAGCAGCCAACTGGGAAGCTAGAACTCAGCTGGCCAGCAGCGGAGCCAGTGTGCAGGGCCTCCACCCCAGAGCTTGAGCGGGGCCGGCTCCCACACGGCCCTCTGGGCGCCCACTGCAGCTTCACACAATGCCTTCCCACCCGGCAGTGGGCCTGCCTCCCTACCCCCAAAGAAATACGAGGTTCCGGTGCGAATGAGCAGCGGGGCAGAGACTCGAACTTCGGCCCCCTCTACGTCGTCAATGCTGATGACTGCGTGGTTCTCCTGGGCCACAAAATTCACCTCATGCCAAAAGCCATCATTCAGGCGGTACCCTGGGCAGAGGAGCCAGGGTCGGGGTGGAGCCGTGAAGCAGAGGCCCAGGCCAGGCCCCTCACCCATCGGCCCCCTCACCAGCCGCGAACTGCAGGCGCTTGCGGCCAGCCTGTGCAACGGACACATTGACCTGGCCCTCGCTCAGCATCAGCTCCACGTGACCCAGCCCGTCACCCATACTCGAGAACAGCAGCAGCCCCGTGAGGTCCCAGGTGCGGAAGCGGAAGGACACGGCCAGGCGGCCGCGGCGTGGGAAGCCAGGGACCTGCACAAAATTGTGTGGTCCCCCAAAGTTGATGGGATGCGGAACTGGGTCCAAGCACCGGAAGGCCACCTTGCCCTGTGGAGGAAGCAGGGGCCCTCAGTTCCAGTGACGTGGGATCTGCCCGTCCTGACCCTCTGCCCCGCACGTGCCCAGCACTAGGAGCCTGGCCACATGGCGGCCCACCAGCTGTGTCAGCACTTGGGAAGCTGAGGCAGCAGGGTCGCCATGAGTAGAGGCCAGCGCGAACTGCACCTGTGCCTGTCTCAACCACGAGTCCCAGCTCCACCCCAGCGTGTCTACTGACCTAAGAGGCACCAGGACTGCACCCCTCTGGGGTGCGTGGCCCTGCCCCCACCCTGTCCATGGCCCCATTTCCCCATCCATCCCGTGTCCTGCTTCCCAGTTCGCCCACTGGCCTCGAAGGTGATCCTCGAGTGGCGCCGCACAGCCAGATCAGCGATGTTGACCCGGTTGAAAATGACATTCTCGATGCAGCCTCGGAAGTTATGCCGGTAGGCAAGGTTCTTCTGCGAGGCACCCACCAGCCCTCCGATGAACATCTGCGGGGTGGTACAGGGGGTGAGCAGGGAAGTCCCCAAACCCACATTTCCCCAGGGAAATGCACTTGGCTGGTCGCACCTTGGTCAGTCAACAACCTGTGCACCAGTCCTTGTCTGCATAAGGAACCAGGGGCCTTATCAGCTCCACAGCACTGGGTGGGACTCCAAGAAGACAATTTTCCTCAACTCTGTTCTTTTTTCTTTTTTTGCAGAACCAGGGATTGAACTCAGGCCCTTGAGCTTGCCAGGGAAGCGCTTATTGTACTGAGTCATCTTCCCGGCCCTTTCCTCAAATCTGGACTTCTAGATCCCACCTCCATGTCTCAGGGTGGGACAGAAATATGGACAAGCTAGTAACAGGGACAGAAAGCTAGGCACTGCTGTGAACACCAGAGGCACCGGGAGAAAGGGGCTGCACCCACCTCTGTGTCCAGGTTCAGCCGCTCAAAGTCACCATTGAGCACAAAGCGCTGCACATAACCATCCAGGGTGAGGTTGGCCTCGCGCCCATAGCGGTCCAGGCGCACATAGTGCCAGTGCTGATCGTTGAGGACACCGCCCGCACTCACCGAGGTGTGGCCAGGCCTGGGCTGGATGGGGCTGCTGCCTGGGGGCGGGACCGCATGTGACTGGGTGGGTGGGTGGGTGGGAAGCCCCGTGGGGTTCCCAACGGGGGAGGGGGGGGGGGCCAGGGGATGCCTCTGAGCTCCCCGTGGACTCATGGCTTCTAGCTCACTTGGCAGGTGCTAGGAAAAGTTAGCGAGCTGGGTGTGGTGGCACAGGCTGGGAGCTCGAGGCCAGCCTGGGTCAAACAGCGAGACCCTGGCTCCAAAGACCCAACCACGAAATGCATACACCAGGGCAGTGGCCCTCACCCAGGCTCATGTGCAGCAGCAGGTGCGCGCCCTGCAGCTCCAGGGTCACGTAGTCGCCCTGGGCCCCCTCAGCGTGCACCAGTAGCCCATCCTTCTCCTCTGTCTTGAAGCTGAAGGCAATCACGTCCCACAGGCTGCGGCTGACCCCTCGTGGGAAGCGGTAGGAGATGGCGTCATCACCGTCGAAGTAGAGGACGTCGGACTCTGTGGGGCGGAGGGCTGGAGTGTGCTGGCCCAGTCCCCAGAGGCTGTCCTGGGTCCCCGGGTCCCCGGCCCCCGTGGCTTACTGTAGGGACAGCCATAGAGGCCGAGCCGCAGGCCGATCTTGCCACGAGGGTTCCAGGCCAGGGGCACGATGCGCACATAGCGCGCCGTGAAGTGGTAGTGCAGGTCGTGGCGCACCACTGCCGACTCATTCACGTTGCCGAAGAAGGTCTGTGGGGCAGGGAGAGTGTAGACTGCACCCGTACTCTGCCGCCATCCTTGTCCTTACTCCTCAAAATGCCAACCAAATGGTACCTCCAGGAAGCTCTCCCACATTTCACCCTAATGGGCTAAACCCTGGGCTCTGAGGTGTCTCTCACACACTCAGCTGGCATCCCCCCGGAGTTCTTCTTCACCTTTCCCCTCACCCCTACCCCTCACCCCTGTTCCAGCCCAGGGCCCAGAGCAGAGAAGGCGGCCCAAGAGTACCGCGTTGTGCCCTTGCTGGTAGAAAGGTGTCCAGCTGTCCACACGGTCACCATAGAGCAGCATGTAGCGTGTGACCCAGTCCCAGGAATTAAAGGAGCCCTGTGTGGCCACAGCGCGGATCCTGTGCTTCTTCATTAAGTCGATCTGCAGCCAGGGATTCGGGTCCCCAATCCGGGGTGACCACCCACTGATGCCTGCAGAAGTGGCCAGGACTCTTACTATCCACACTATCCCCCAGCCCTCGGGGTCCGCCCTGCCCAAGGCGGTGGCTGGGCTCACCGTGCAGCCGGGCGAAGCGGGCGGTGGTGAAGAGCCCATAGTAGGAGGAGGCGCCCAGGGACCGTGCGTACAGGGGCCCCACCAGCTCCTCATCACAGCCGTCTGGGGCGGAGAGGGGAAGCTGTCACTCAGCGCCTCCGCTGGGGCCCTTCTGAAGGTCGGTCCCGCAGCCCAGCCGCAGACCCAGCCCTCCAGAGGCAGGGGCTCCACCAGGGCTCCAGCAACAGCGGCACGTGCAGGGGGGGTCTTTTCTCCTAGAGGACCCTCAGCCAGAGCCCCTGCCACCCACTGCAGACACTGGCCTGAGGCTCCCACAGCCCCCCAACACCTCAGCACCTTCCAGAGGCCAAATGAGACCAGGACACCAGCCCAGCCTTACCCTTCCCAGGCCTGTTTCTTCAGACCCCCAAACCTGCGCCGCCCTGAAACCCACCTTGGCTCCTGCCCTTCTCCCTGCTCCCCGGCTCCCCAGCTCTCCCGCCAGCCCTGGCTCTGTCTTGATCCCAACTCCTGCCAGGTCACCAGCCCCAAGCCTAGCCAGAAGCGGCACCCCGCAGAGCCCCCCTTCCCACCCCGCTGCCCTTGGACCCCGCCCGGCCGCTCGGTGCTCAGCTTGGAGCCCGCCTGGCGCAGGGCGCGCGCAGCGGCCGGAGCTGCATTGCGGAGAGCGGGCGCTGCCAGCGGGGAAGGACCCCGACCACCCAGCCGCATTGCGGTGCGGGACCCGCCCTGCAGGCCCGAGCTCTGCTCCTCCCGCCCCGGCCAGGCACTCACAGTAGCCCCAGGCCCGAGCTCCTGAGGCCGCGGCGGCAAGCAGGACGCAGAGCAGCCGCAGCCGCATCGTGTCAGGCGGACCTGGTCGGCGGCCGCCTCCCGGGGCCGGACTCGAGCTCAGGCTCCACACCCAGCTCTGCTCCGGTCGGCACCAGGGCGCTGTCCCCTCTCCGGCGTCCCTACCCCTCCTCCCCCCCGCGCTCCGCTCTTCTCCCTCTCTCCTCTCCTCTCCTCTCCTCCTCTCTCCTTTCCTTTCCTCTCCTCTCCTCTCTTCTCGCCTCCCCCTTCCCCAGCCTCCTCGCTGGGCACGCGCGTCCCCCGACCCCGCGCAGGCGCGCGCCTCAGCCCCACGCAACAGGGCGGGGGCAGAGCATCCCCCAGCCGCCGGGAAACACCAGCGCCCAGGCTGCAGGCCAGGACCTGGGGGTGGCAAAAAGGAGGCGATAACCTGGAACAAAACAAAACAAAACAAAAAACTACCAAGCGCAGGAATTAGGGGCGCGAGCGCGGTGTCCAGAGACCACACAGGACTGTAAGGGGCTCTAACATTCCCCGGGCGGCGGCGGCCCAGGATTGTGGGGGGCTCCCGCCCAGCACTGTGCAATCTGCCTTTTTAACTGACTTCACTTTGCAGAGAAAAAACCCTTGAGGTTCAAAAGTCTAAAAATGGTTCCCAAGACTGTGCAGACAATATTCCCAAACCCATCCTTTTCCCTGGGGGTGAAGGAAAGTCTTTCCAGAGGCGAGGGGCGCACAGGGCGCCAGACCCTACCCCTGCTCCCAGCCCCTCTCTCCGCCCCTTCCTTCCTGTCTCACTGGTTATTTAACCTCTGCCCTTGCGGCTCTACCTCCGAAACCCTGGTAGCCAGAGATGGGGACCGAGCCCGCGGAGCAGGTGGGAGTGGGGGCAGGGCAGGGTGGGTCCCGCAGGCCTCTGCTCCCCCTCACCTGTGCTGGCGGAGCCACAGCCTGGGGTCCCAGGCCATGAGAGGCTCTGCGGGCCTGAGCTGAAGGGCGAGGTGGTGGGGTCCAGTGGGGAAGAGAAGGGTGCAAGGAGCCATCCCGACCCAGGCTGGAGGCCAGGGTCCCGGGTCCAGCCAGCCTGCACCTAGCGGTCTGTCCAGGAGAGGGCGCTGTGAGGTGACGAACCGGACTACGGTTTTTACGGCAAACACTGGGTCTATGCGCAGCTAGGTGATGACCCATCGTCACCCATATTTCATTTTTTAAAAAATTTTATTTATTTGTGTGTGGGGGGGGTCAGCTCAGCCCACCAGGGGGCGCGGCTGGCTGGTATGTGGTGCTGGGGGATTGAACTTTGTCCCTGTGCTTTGATCTCACCAGCCGGTCACCCATATTTCAAACACTCCTGGCTGCAAGTCTTGTCAGGAGGCCTGGACAGGACTTCTATGTCCTGCCGAGGTCCCTGACATCCAGAACCAGCAGTAGCTCGCTCAAGGTCACCAGCAGGCTGGCAGTGGAGGCAGCAGGGACCAAGGGGTACAGAAGGCATCTGGAGGGTTTCTTCACGGGTCCCCGGGTGTGGCCAGAATGGACTGCAGGGCTCCTGCGGTAGTCCGGCATGGCTGCGGGGATTGTGTCGCGTCTCTTAGGTCTAGCTCTCACTGCCCTCCCCAGGTGTCCTGGGGCTCCTACTCTGGGGACGAGGAGGATGCCTACTCAGCCGAGCCACTGCCTGAACTCTGCTTCAAGGCCGACGTCCAGGCCTTCAGCCGCACCTTCCAGCCCAGCGTGTTGCTCATGGTGTCCTTCCTGGGCCTGGCGGGGAACAGCCTGGTCCTGGCCACGCACCTGGCTGCCAGGCGCCCAGCGTGCTCGCCCACCAGGGCGCACCTGCTGCAGCTAGCCGTGGCCGACCTCCTGCTGGCCCTGACCCTGCCCTTCGCTGCAGCGGGGGCGCTGCAGGGCTGGAGTCTGGGCAGTGCCACCTGCCGCACCATCTCTGGCCTCCATGCGGCTTCCTCCCACGCCGGCTTCCTGTTCTTGGCCTGCATCAGTGCTGACCGCTACGTGGCCATCGCGCGCGCGCTCCCCGCGAGACCTCAGCGCTCGCCGTCCCGCCGCGCGCAGTGGGCCTCAGCCGCCGTGTGGCTGCTGGCGCTGTTCCTGGCGCTGCCCGCGCTCCTTTTCAGCCAGGACGCGCCCCGTGAGGGCCTGCGGCGCTGTCGCCTTGTCTTCCCCGAAGGCCTGGCGCAGACTGTGAAGGGGACAAGCGCTGTGGCTCAGGTGGCCTTGGGCTTCGCGCTGCCGCTGGGCGTCATGGCCGCCTGCTACGCGCTCTTGGGCCGCACGCTGCTGGCCGCCAGGGGGCCTGAGAGCCGGCGTGCGCTGCGCGTAGTGGTGGCCCTGGTGGCGGCTTTCGTGGTGCTGCAGCTGCCCTACAGTCTCACTCTGCTGCTGGACACGGCCGACCTGCTGGCCGCCCGTGAGCGCAGCTGCCCGGCCAGCAAGCGCAAGGACCTGGCGCTGCTGATGACCGGCGGCCTGGCCCTGGCGCGCTGCGGCCTCAACCCCGTGCTCTACGCCTTCCTGGGCCTGCGTTTCCGCCGGGACCTGCGGGCGCTGCTGCGGAGCGCGGGTTGCGGACCCAGGGCGCACTCCCGCGGTGGCTGTCCCCTCCGGCCACGCCTGTCGTCCTGCTCTGCGCCCACTGAGACCCACAGTTTGTCCTGGGAGAGCTAGGGCTGCAGGGGGCTACTGATGGGGGCGAGAAGGGGAGTGGGTGGGGGGACCACGGGAATAGAGGTGGGGACGGAAGGGTGGCCCAGAGCATGCCACATAAAGCGATAACATGGAAATAAGATGCAAGCAGCAGCTGTTACTATTTTTGCACCACCGGCTTGCAAGCGATTCGCAGCAGAGTGGAGCTGTGGGCTGCACCCCCGCCGCTCCGGGCTGGGTGGGCGGAGCTGCTGAGTTTGCTGAAGCCCTGGCAGACACCTTCTGCACCTCGACACCGGGCTCACCCGCAGAGGTGAAGCTGAGGTGGGAAAGCTGCCAGGCCGGGAGGGGAGGGGCTGCTCCTGAAGCAGCAGCGTCAGAGGAGCTTTCTAACAACCGGCTCTCCTCCAGAGCTCCCAGCCGACTCCGCGGACTCCTGGAGGGTGAGGGGCGAAGAGGTTCCCGGTGGGGGCAGGGGACCCGCTCGCCGGGGCACAAGCCCTGCTAAAGTTCTGCGATGGAAACAAAACAAGTTATTTAAAAAGTTGAGTCGTAGTCTTGCAACTCGGAGGAAAACTGAGGGAAAAAATTGCAATTTGCAAGTTTCCAAAAGGGGATGGTCCTGGGTTTGCCTCTGTGTGTGTGTGTGTGTGTGTGTGTGCGCGCGCGCGTGTTTACAGTTACCCTCTCCCTCTCTATCTTCTTTAGGCCGGGAGAAGGGGTCAGATATTTAAAAGAACTTCCCTGCAGTCCAGGACCTGAGAGCTACATGGGGGAGGAAAGCACGGGTCTCCAGGACCTCCAGCCCCAGGAAATCTCAGCAAAGGCCCCTCTGGGGTGCAGACACTGGCAGAAGGGTCACTAGCAACGGTGGCCTTAATTTGTAGTCTTTGTTTTGCACAATAACAACAGGCACAGTTGCTCACGTGCGATAGTTCTCGCCGTGTGACATCCGGCCAGCCAAGCTGGACCCTCGCTTCGGCCCCAGTCCAAGGGCGAGAAGGGCGTGGCGTAGCCCTGGGTCTGGAGACAGTGCGCCTTCCCCCACCCGCGGGTCCCCGCCCTGCGCTCCCTCCCTCGGCTGGTTGTGTTCCCGAGAGCTTCACACAGTAGAAATCCAAGGCCTCGGAGTACAGGGCCTGAGATTTGGGGGCGGTCCGAGGCCAGCGCAAGTCCCAGGGGCCGCGCTGGAACCCTCGCCGGAGACCGCGGGAATCGCCGCTGAGTCAGCGCCGCGCGCCTCCCGCGGTCGCCGGCTCCGCCCCGGCCGCCTGGCACCTCGGTTAACCCCGTCCTGTCCGGACCCTCAGAGTGCTCGCCTGGAGAAGACCAGAACACCCCAGAGTGCTGGGCCACTCTCCCTGCTCGATCTCCCAGAGGCGTGGTGTCACTCGCCCGTCATCCCAGCAAGGGAGATTGAGTCAGGAGGCCGGCCGGGGCTACCTGGAGAGTCGCAGTCCAGCCTAAACTGCACAGCGAGACCCTAACTCAAAAAATAAATTAGTGGGCTGGAGAGATGGCTCAGTGGTCTAAAGCACCTACTTAGAACAAGCTTAGCAAAAGCATCAGGGACCGCGGTTCAATCCCCCAGCACC